AAATGTCAGCTCAAAAAATTGTCACAGTCATCGACACCTCCAGTCATTAAGTGAACTGCAGTGTCAGTTATCTTTTCATGAGTTTAGGTTCATAAAATGTGTGCAACCTTGTAAACACTGTCCATTGTACCATGCGTTATTTATCTTATATTACAAGTAGGGGAATGGCATGTGTACTAAATACCTATATCTATATACCAAGTATCATGAAAATGATAACTTTTTCACTTTTGGCACAAAAAATGCCAGCTGGCCTGCTAACCACACCCATGCTGGCAATTACAGCGTGAAGCAAATGTAGTTGATTTACCGAATACTTTTATAATTTTATAACAAGGGGAAACTACTCAAGACAGTATTTTCTTATGTGAGCTTGCAATCTGTCTCTGTCGGCAGGGAAAGACAAATATTATCCCGAAACCAAACAGTCCCTTCATGAATCAAACGCCCTATTGATGTGGGCCATAGCAATCACTTGGCGAGCACATTTCTGTCTAGACAGACTTCAGCAGACAAATTCTTCCTGCTAATGTTAGCTAAAATTTAATGTTATTCTTATTATTATTTATTGCTGGCCAATAAATACTTAAATAAATACAGCACTTCAGGTTTTTAAACTGCTGTTGTGTTGTGTTGTTGTTTGCTGTTCATGTGTCTAAATTTGTTGACTTGATTTTATAAGAACTTTGCATTACGTGTGGTCAGAGGCTTGACAAGTCGCAAATGTTCACTTTACTTCAGGTCAAAGCACTATTTGCTATGGTCGATTTAAGAAAACACTACCATGTTAAAACTTACACATTATAGGAGTAAATATGTAGTATATACAGTAACTGGACCACCTGTGAATTGCTATTAAAGTGTGATCTCTGTAAACATAGTTTGTCTCACCTCTAACTGGGCTGATTTTGTTGGTGATGGCGTATCTCAGGATCCGCTCCTCCTTCACGAACATGACAAACACCCTCTCCATAAGGATCTGCAAAGTCTCCGGGGTGGCAGCTTGGTTGTTGTGTGGGCAGTCACGGTAGGTGATATTCTGTTTCAGCTGGAAAGAGAAGGACTCGGACCCTCGGTCTGCTGTAACCACTGAATACTCTCTAATAGAGGTGGAGGTTGCAACTGTAGAAAGAGAGATGGAGTCACTTTAAGCAACAAAAAGGGCAATCGAATGATGTATACTGTTCAATCCTTGACTTTACCTGAGGGGTAGTACTGGTAAGTCTCTTTGAAGGGCTCCATGGTAACTTCAGCACCAGGAGGAAGGAAGGGCACACTGCCGCTGATTACAGTACCCACGGTTAGGTGGTTGTGGTCATCGAGGCCACGGGCCGTCTGAATAATTAACAAGCGCTGGTTGCCAGGGTAAAATACAACCTCTGCGTGACGACTGAACTCAGCACCTTGTAACACAAATAATCATCAATCTTTTATTTACTGGTTTATATATAACAAACATGCAGAAGCTACATTTCAGAAAAAGTGCAGTTTCTACAATGGTTACACACTAACACAACCACACAGCTGTTTCCCATTAGTGAGGGGAGGGGGAAGACTGATATCACATCACATCCCTGGAGACACTACATCTGGCTGGGAGACCAGAAACACACACATGCAAAGAAACAGACACATGATGTCCTTGCTATTAAGGAGTTCCCTCATGTCTCTCCAGAATGTCAAGAGTCAGGACGTACAAGGCAAAAAACTGTGCAAACATGTTTACCTGTCAGTTTGAATCCCGCTTGGCTATTCTGCAGCTCCAAAGCAAACAGCCATCCAAATAGCTCTCCAATGGGTGCAACTGGCATCAGTGCCCAGCCCACTGGTTCTGGTACCTGACCAAGAGTGATAAAGTTTGCTAAGTTGACTAAGTTTACGTAAATGATGCAAGACATTAAGATGTTAATTTTTTCAGAGGCTTTTTAACCAACATATTTCAATTTGCTTTCCTTAAAATTGATTAAATCCAAGGTGGATTTGAAAAAATTGTGGTTGAAAAAAATACTGAAACACCAAAAACTCGAATTCCCCCAATGGACACTTAAGGCTGAGTGTGAAATCATCCTATATACTTTGGTACACAGAGGAGTTTATAGTTGACTTAATGTCATGACATTAAACATTGATGGGCTCAGACTCTACAGGCCTCAGCATGCCCACGCTGCATGCTGTAGAGTCTGAGATGTAGTTCTTGGTCTGACATTGGAATGAATTCACTGGGATTTCCATTATGTTAACACACCTCAATGCTCCAGACCAGCAAACTGACAAAACTTTTATAGAGGTGCTCAAACCTGCTGATGTCAATTAATCAAAAACATTTGATTAGCCAAGTATTAGGGTTACCCTCTTAATTCCTGTGGAAGCAGTAAGGGTATGCTTAGTTTGTCTTATGTCTACGTGCAGTCCTCTGAAAACTTTCTTTTTCATGACTGTACGTTAAACCTTGCTCCTGATCTCCTGATCTGATAAGTTAGCCCCACTCTGAATGCTTACCAGATTGGTTCCTTAAATTTGTTATGGAAAAAGTACTGGCTGTCTTAATCTTAATTACAACATAGAAGAAGCTTGTACACGATTAATGGGGCTGTTTTTCAGGTTGTACCTCGCTGATGGCAGTATACGCCCTCCCGTCTCCCACCACAATGTAGGCATGGAGATCAATGTTGTTCAGCGATACTGGAGTCGACCCCACATACACAGTGCCGCTCACCTTACCGCTAACACGCTGGGGGGCACCTAGATGAGCAGCACAGAACGCACACAACAAAGCAGCTTTAATTTGTAAAGACAACCAATGGGCACAGCACTTAGAAAAAATGGCCAAGATCTAACCATCAGGCAGACACTGGCGTCCATTTCCATAGAAGCCTGGTTGGCAGTGACAGCAGAAGCCTGTGGCATAGTCAGTGCAAAATGCATTCTGGGAGCACTGCTGCAGGAATCTAAATGAGAAGGCGAAAGTTGTAGTTTTAAGTACGATCGGTGCTTTTTTGATATGTATTCATGGCATCAGACAAGGCATGAGAATGGACAAGTGTCAGATCAAGCAGACACTAACTTAAAATATTATTTCTGCAGGAAAGAGCTTTTCTTTTTTAAGAATGATCTTCAGATTCTGAGAAAGCAACTTTTACTCTTTACACTGTTTTGAACAAATCTCAGTGTTGTTAAGACACCTAATATAGTCGTCTTTGATGTCTTTTTAATGTCTTACCAACAATGTCTGATTGGCTGTGTAGGTAAGCAAATTAAATTGCATGTCTACTCTTTACATACCTGGCACATGTTTCCTTATTCTCTGTAGTATATTGAATCACTATGAGAGAAAAAAAACTAAGATTAGAGGAAACATGATACATAGATAATACACGACATTTAAACTCATTAGCCTAATGTTTCCACTCTAATGCTTCAGTTATACCCACTACATTGGTTAGTTTGCGCTCCACTGGTGACATCATCACTCAGCCATATTCATTTAAGCTCTCTGTTATGGCGCAGGTACTTGCAGTATTCTCCTGAACAGTAAATGTTGCTACTCAGACAAAAACCTTCATATTGCTGATGGTTCAGGGGGAGAAGAGTTTTTCCGACTGAGTCTTTATCTTTAAAGTCTAAATTTATGAAAAAGAATTTATAATGATCAACATTATATATTATTTTTATGACTTTTACCTGAAAATGAGCGATGGTAAGATGATTCACTTGAACAATTTATATTTTGTCTCCAATCTACACATTGTACAAAAACTTCAATTCAAATGTATTTGTATAGCACCAGATCACACCAACAGTCAGCTCAAGGCGCGTTATACTGCAAAGTAAAGACCCTACAATAACACAAAGAAATCAGATGACCCCCTATGACCAAGAACTTAGTGACAGTGGGAAGGAAAAACTCTTTTAACAGGAAGAGACATGCAGACATATATGCATACACTCCAAGATGCTATAGGAAAAGAAAACCAGCTGCTGCAGTCCTGCTTCAAACATCCACATATGCACATCTTTCCTCTTTAATGAGAACCTTCATTGACATAATACATCGTGTAGTCTTGTAACCCTCACCACTCACTGGCTAAACACAACCCTAAACTAAGCCAAATATTAACCTAAACCTCAATACCAAGTAATAAACAGTCCTTGGATGTGGCCAAGATGAGACCCAATGTCTTCACAGCATATACATGTTCTGACTACGACTCTAAACAGACTCTAAACTAAAAGACTGTTTATTTGTTGAAAGTGTCTCTGACTTGAATGCTGCTCAAATTTCTTTTTTGAATCGACAAAAAAATAAATAAATAACTGAGTCAGCAAGAAAATTGCTGACTTAAGATATTTTGCGTGAAACCTTAAATGCCTATTCTTATTAGAACTGCTCAAGTCTGACCACAACCTCACATGCTTAAGTAACTTCACTTAACAAAAAACATCACATGGAGCTTGCATAACTCCTGAGCGACTGCATTGTTCTCTTTGACTTTCTCATTTTCTTTCTCTCTTTTTGGGGGGGCAGGATGTCGGAATTTTCTAGGGAGACAAAGATGTAACAATTCCACTCCAAGTTTCATAAACATCAAATTCATAAAAATGCCGAAAAATATAAATGTGCTTTCTAAAAACTTCAAAACACATAAATATAGCACTTGACATTTGACATTTTTAAAACCCGCTTGAAAACACACTTGTATTCTTTAGCTTTTTATTGTGACTAGTCTTTCATTGTTTTTTTTACTATGAATGTTTACTATTTCCATTATGTACAGCACTTTGGTTCAACCCGTGTTGTTTTTAAATGTGCTTATGAATAAATTTGCTTTGATTTGATTTGATAAATATAGCCAAATACTCTATGTATGTATACTAGTACATGAAGTCTGATATTCTTTAAGTCTACAAGATATGGTCTAAAATGGCCTTAGCAGCACGATGCTCCATATCCCATCCTGCCTGTTTCCACTTTTACTATAGCTCTATAACAAAATAGTGAGCTTAAAGACATATCTTGTTTTCCTAAAAACATGCATAAAAATGTCAGATGGAACATTAAACACTTGGCGACAGATCTCGAAGGCTTCTCAGAAAAAACTGTTTCTTTTTCCCAAACTGACCTAATAAGATGAACTCACTTACACAGACAGTTTGCTTGACCTTATATAAGAGGTTTACTGAGAACACATTCTTATTTATGGCAAAATCCTGTGGGAGTAGTTTGAAGGGGAGGGAGCGTGAGCACACACACCTGGTAGCTACACAGCACAACGGCAGTATTGTATTAGGTACCGCTCGGCAGCTGGCCAAGACAGCGAGGTAGCGTTTTCCATGAAACTAATTTCAAAGAGTAGAGAAAGTGCAACCCAGGTTATTTTGTTATAGCTACAATGTACAGATGTTCCCAAATGCATCACATGCAGGCAGTGACAAAGTTACTGATATGAAAAGAGGACAGCTATGAGAATTCACTCTCTGTATATGTGTATGGGTTTGACTGTGCCTGTTCAAAATGTGGCTGTGTGAAATAGGCACATTGTTGGCTGTGACTTTCTTGAGAATGGCTCCTCAAAACATAGTCTCGTGTGACTCACTTCATTGTCACAGGAATCCAAAGACAAATAAATAAATAAAATTGCATGAAAAAAAACAAACATAGTGTGTACTTGCCCAGTTATCACTATGACAACTTGACTGTGAAAAAGATTGAACTTTTGACCAGCTGTCCTTTTTCTTCTGACGTCCTTTAAATGGCCTATTTTGGCCTAAGCTTGGAAGTAACTTGGAAAACTGTTGGAAAGTGTATCTAGACGATTCAGATAGGTACCACATATTGATACTCTGTGCACTTCTTTAGGATGAAGTTTGCTGATAAGTTTTAAAAAAAGAAAAATACTCATTGTTTTTTTTCTTACCTCCTGTGTCAAAATTAACCTGTTCTTCATCCACACTGACCACATGTGCTCCAGGGGAAAGAGGCGGAGCATTTCTATGTGGGGTGTGCACATTCACCACTTCCAGAGGCAGCTGCAGAGGAAGACACAGGAGAAATATGTTCTGGCATTGGAAGCAATGTAGCCTGTAGCTGTAATTCTCTACAAATATCATAATCCAGAAAGTTATGATCTGCGCTATGTTCTCATTATTTTGTTGACAACACCATTCCACTATGACCATGATATTTTCTTAAACTGTCCTTTGAATTTAAATTCCTTTTAACACCTGACAACCCTGCGGTTTCAATTCCCTTTTTTCATATCTAACTAAGGCAGTTGTGATGGCAAAAGGTGTGCATAATACCAAGTTGTGCATGATAAATGGTTAGTGGGTTATACTACAGTTTTTTGCACATTTGAACCACTTGCCCTGTTTTTCAGTGTTACCTGTGGTTGCTGTTCCTGGGGCTGCTGAGCACCTCCCTCTGCGACTGTCTGTGGAGGATTAGGGGAAGCGTACTGCCTCTCTGGTGGCTCGAAACCATACACAGGTTCAAAGGTCAATGGTATATTGTCGCTCCCATGATGGTTTTGCGGTAGAAGGAAACTTGATCGGTCACCATCAGCAGGTGCAGGTTGGAATTTAGGGTTCCTCCCTGTTAAAGGATAATCATCTTCTCTTTCTTGGGTATTAGGGTCGAACGTATTCTCCACATATTCTTCAAACTCATCATAGTCTGGGGTGGTGGTGCCCTGGAAGGAAAAACAATGGAAAAGTCAGAGGAGTAAAGAGCAGCATGGGTGTCTGAGGTTGTGGTGGCAGCTAATAAAACTGATTGGACTGGGGATTATCTAAAAAAAACATCAGAAACAGTGTGTAAGATAAAGAGCAGTGAAAACCAGCATAACAGGAGGGTTGTGTCTGACTGTCTTATCTGTTGGGAAGCCCAAGGTGGTAGAAATGTCCTACACTGGTGCCAACTCCACCCAACACCCAAAGAAGGGTCACACCAACAGATTGTACTGTTAAACAAGTCTAAGCCCTCGATCAGATGGTGGCAAAACTTCCCCTATGCAATAGGAGCAGGCGGTGGTTAACTGAGGGCAGATGGAAGAACTGCAGGCCCAGGCCGAGCGGCACAACCTGGTGCTGGAAAACCTTGTGGTCTGGTCTGGGGCCGCAACTCAACTGCCTCTACTTACCATGGTTCTTTGATCATGCCACACAAGACAGTGGAGACGTATGACCGCAGCTGGTCTTGGATATGTTTGAGGATACAGTGTTGGAGGCTGGTAAGCAGCTGGTGGAGGAAAAGGCTGTGTGGCTGCTTCCCCTATTGTCTGGGGAAGGGCAGGCAGCAGCGCTCAGCCTACCAGCGGTTTTTCAGGGCAACTTTAAAGATGTCTGGAAGACTGTGCTGGACTGCTTGGGCTACTCCCATAAAGACCACTGCTGCCAATTCCACAACTCCAGACTGGGAGTGGGAGATCAGCTATTGGCCACACCCAGCTGGCTGTAACTAGGGATGTTGTAGTGGGAAATGTGTATCCTGTTGCTGGTGGTGCTGCTAATATGATAAAACCACAATAAAATCATGACCCAATTCTTCTGGATGAGTCCTACTTGGAATGCCAGTCAGGTCATTTCACTGGAGTGCACAAGGATATCCTTTTGTTTTTAGTCTTGGTGAATTATGCAACACAATATCATGAAGAGGTGGCTTTGTGAAGCATTTCAATTTCTGCTGAGAGTGTGGTGCATGAGCTGTTTCTGGTCATATTCTGAATCCCAAAATAAATATTTACTGACCAGGGCAATTTTTTCAAATCTCACACATGGGCTGGTGGAGTGTGTGAATAAAGCATTAAATTCCATGATGTTTAAGGAGAAGTTCATTCACAAGGATGAATGAACTTGGGACTGGTGGTTAGACCCACTGTTGTTTCCACTGTAGGAGGTGCCCCAGGCCTCCACTGAATTTTTCTTTTCCTTTGAAATGCTGTTTGGCAGAAAACCACGTGTGGTGTTGGACCTACTTACAGAAAACTGTGAGAAAAGTCCAAGCAAAAATAAAAGAAGAGAGGATGTCAGAGGATGACAACAGAGAGGCTAGACTCAAGTAGTTTACACCAGGAGGTAAACTACTTGTGTTTCTCCCATCCTCCAGCTGAAAAGTACTTGCCTAGTAGTAAGGGTCTTTTGTGGTCACACATGATGGGTGGGTGATGTCAATTATGAGTTAGCACATTCTGCCAGGGGTAGAGCCACAAAAATATACCGCCTGAAAGTGCAGAGGCAGGCAGATCCTGTTTCTCTGGTGAGCTTGATGAAAGACAAAGATGGGTTGGGGCCCATTCCTTCGTGACGACCATCTCACACAAGCCCAGAGAGCAGATGCCGTTAGGTGGTTCTTGGAGCTGAATGGGTTCATCATGAACTTTGCAGAGCTAACTAGTCCCCTGACCAACCTCACCCGAAAGTGTGAGTCAGACCTGGTCCATTGACAGAGCAGTGCCAAGGAAGCTTTAAATTCCATTTGACTAGGTAAAATAAACTCTCTGGGGGTAACCATGCTCCATACTCCTAACTTCTCCCTGAGGGCAGGTGGCCGTTTTGTGTTTGCAGGTGAGGGGATTCGACTGAGGTATACATTGGTTGTAAGCTGTCAGAGCGCAAGACTAAATACAGCACAGCAGATAAAGAATGTCTGGCCATTCTGTAGGCAGTTGAAGCCCTCCACTGTTATCTCCTGATATGCTGATTCACCCTATGTTCGGGCAATGTTTTGCAGAATGATGGCTCCATTGCACGAAGGATGCCAACACCCAGATCATCCAACGATATCTAGCTTGACAGCCTTTCAAATTCAAGATGATCCAAAGGCTTGAGGTATAGATGGTTGTGGCTGATTTCCTCTTCTGTGGGCGAAGGAAGTTTAGGCCGGATGGCTCCTCATCCCAGGTTGGGCGATCGGGGTATTTGGTGGCGGGGTGTGGTTTTGGCTCAGCTCTGGAGGGCTGGAGCAGAGGGTTCTTTGGGGTGGCTGGCACAGCTGTCAGCAATTGTCTCATTATGTCTCTTCTATTTATGCAGTAGCTCGCTGGGACCAAGGTGTGTATAGCAATCACTTGGACTAGCAGCCAGAAGAGCTACTAGAGCTGATAAAATTGAGTGGACATGTCACTGTTAAAAAAGCGTTAGAGATAACACTGAATGAATAAAGAAAGCAGCATAGCAAGAACGTTGTGTCTGTCTGTGTGTGTTGGGAAACCCATGATGGCAGAGATGCGCTACAGCAGGTGTGTCAAACTCATTTTACATGGTGGGCTACATGCAACCCACTTTGATCTTAAGCGGTCCGGACGACTAAAACTCCCCATTCTGTAAAGAAGTTACATATTTAACAGTTTTTCTACATGTGCCAATAACAGAAACGGCTCTTTGGACTTAAATTGTAAGAAATAAAATTAAAGTAAAAGTTCTGGTAGCTCATTGCTCAGACTTCCAGTTTTGTGTTATTTGTTTTTTTAATTGTTTTTTAATTGTTTTGTTTTTAACTGTAGTCATTAAAAATGAAATATCTATAGTAGAAATTGAAAAAGAAACTTTTCTCTTTTTCACAAAGTTACAGAGGTTTTACTAAAGACATGGCTAAGCATTTTGCAATTTAGCATAATCTGGAGTGATTTATGAAAATTGAAATTTCTGATGTACTCAATAGCAGAAATTAGGCTTTCTTGTAATAATATAAATATAAATAGTGGCCGACAACACTGTACACAGCAGTAGACTGGTGCATAATAAGCAAGCAAATAAGGCAGAAGATATAGATTTTTGATGCACTACAGGTATATTTCAAGAAGATATATTGTTATCGTCCAAAAGCTAAATCAAGCAAATAACAAAATTACCATATGGGGGTCATATCCTACAGTTGGTGGAGTAGAAACAGGACCTTTAATGGATGCAGGTACAATGTTGTCAAAGGAATAACGGTTTCCAGTGTGGAAAAGCCAAAGGCCTGGAATTCCACTGTTACCAAACCTAGAGCAGAAGAAATCAGACATTCACAGAAGGATGTAAATAATTATGTGCACCACAAAAAACCCATTTTCTGTTGTTATAAATGTCCTAAGCTTCTCCTGCAACAGCATTTGAAGGTTCAACAAAGCACATAAAGCAAGGCACATAACAATGAATGTGAACATCTTTTTTTGAGTCACTAATTTTAGCTTTACATTTACAACCTGTAATTATTAGCTATCTGCCCCTTATTGTGCTATACATGAACTGTCATTAGCAAGCTCTTACTACATACACATTTATTTACCAGTATTTGTTTTAGCGATTACTGTGTGTATGCATCTTGTTACTAAAAAGTTGCATTGTTTGCATTGTTTAGTAAGCATGTTAGGTAGTTAGCAATAAGCGAATTATTTTATTCTGTGGAGTTTGGATATATTTCGATTCTGATCATGGAACAAGTCATTATTTGCGTACATCTAATTCTAAGGTTAAACTGTTGGCTGCAAAGAAATTTATGGTTTAACCTTTTTTACTTACTGGTAGAGGTTTTTAACACTCTGCTCATTACTGGTGACACTGTAGTAAGGGCTTTCACTTCGGTAAATTATACAATTTGGAATTTCTCCTCTGCTGAAGCCAACTCTTGCTGGAAGCTCTATCTCAACATTATACGACTCCTAGAAAAATTAAAAACAAAACAAACAACCGAAAAACAGAACAACATAATAACCATGTTCTCAAATAAAATAAAATAAAATAATTTGTCAAATATTTAGCAACAAATACTAAAAATAACAAAAAATAGGAACTATATAGAATAATTCAATAGTCATTAAGGAACAAAATCTTACAATAATATGTAAAATCTGAGCAACCAAAACGTGCACACAGATACATCTTGAAGGGCTAACATAACCCTGGTCAGGTGTTATGTTGACCCATTTATGCACCTAAAGCAGCAGTGGCTATGTGAAGTGATAAAAATAGTGATATAAATACAATGGTTCATTTTGCTCGTGTACATTTTGCCCTACAGCTGTAACAGTGATGACTTAACTCTTGTTTGCTTACCTTAGGCAGTGTGCCAAAGAAGTTCAGACC